GGGGTGGAATTGCGCGATTCAATGTTTGGTTGGATATGTATGTGTGGGTGGGTGGGTTGGTATGTAGGTAGGTAGGTATGTAGTTTTATGCTGCTTTCTCTTCGTCTTTTCTTCTCTTTCTCTTTTCTTCTCTCTCTTTTCTTCTCTCCTCTCTTTTCTTTCTTTTCCTTTTCCTTTTCCTTTCTTCAGACCAAGCCTCCGTCCTCTCTCCCTCTCTTTCCCTCCCCCTCTCCCATCCCCAACCCGCCTCCCCGCCTCTCCACCTTACAACCGCGCACCCTTAGCATACTCCCTCTCAAGGCGCATGCCCTTCCTCCCGCCGCGGCTCCCATCCCCCTTCCACAGCTCAAACGGCACACGCTCCTTGGGCCACGCCCACTTGTCACGGAACTGCGCGGGCGGCCTTCCCTCCAAGCACTGGACGATGCGATCACCGATAACGGGCAGGAACTTGAAGCCGTGCCCGGACCCGCCCGTCGCGACGAACAAACTCCGCCCGTACGCTGGGTGGTGCGTGATGAGGAAGTCACCGTCGCGCGTGTCGGCGTAGTAGCACAGGCGCGTGCTGCGGAACGGGCGCGCCGCGCAGCTGGGCACGAGGTCCTGGCAGAGTTTGCGCAGCGCGGCCTCTGCCTCGGCGGGCAGGTGGGCGGGCAGTGCGGGGGAGGTCGCGTGCGTGCGCGGCAGCGAAACCGAGATCGTCTCGTTTGCGCTCGCGGGCAGCTCTGGGTGCGCGATGTTGACGTAGTGGGAGTAGCCGTGGCCGTGGCGCGCGAGCTTGAGCAGGCGGCGCGAGGGCGGGATGACGAACATGCCGGTGGCGAGATTGAGGACGGTGGGGTTCTTGCCCAGGGCGGCTTGCTCGTCGGCCGAAATGTCGACGTACGCCAGCGCCTGCCCCGTCGCCTCCACGATGCCGCGCAGGTCCAGCAGCGCGCCGCTCCACGCGCCGGCCGCAACGACCGTCACCTCGGCGCGCAGCTCGCGGCCGTCGTCCAGCGCGGCGCCGAGCACGCGCGAGCTCTGCGCCGACGGGACCGTCGTCTCTGCGTGCGCGAACAGCAGCCGCGTCACGGTTGCGCGCACGAACGCCACGCGCCCTGTCGCTGCGACCAGGGCCTGCAGGTGGGCCATGCTCGCCTCCGGGTCCGCCCATCCGGACGTCCAGTTCACGTAGCCCACGGACCCGTTCGTCCCGCCAAATGTGTGGATCCGCGATATCTCGGCGGCAGAGCGCAGTTCCTGCAGCGCGGGGCGGGCGGGCTGCGCGTCGTTGTCGCGCTGGACCGCCGTGTTGGCCGTCTGCGCCGTTGCGCGCAGCACCTCTTCCCGCACGGCTTCGAGCGCGCGCACGTTCTCCAGCGACTTGTTGACGTAGTCGGCGCAGCCGGGCTCCGCGGTCAAGCACAGCCCCGTCTCGGTGTACCGGCCGTCGGCGCCCCAGGCCCCGCGCCAGAGGTCCTGGGCCTCGTAGGCGAGGGCGGCGTAGGCGGGGTCGGCGTAGTCGGGGCGGATGATGCGGGACGTGTCGATCTGGGGATTGGTTGTGAGAAAGGGTATGGCTTGGTTGGCGGCGGGGAGAGGAAGAGGTCACGAGGCAGGCCGTACACTGGAGGCGTCGGGCGAGGGGAAGCCCTGCCGGTCGACGACGGTGATGGTCGTCTTGCTGTAGGCCGGGTTGCGCGCCAGCGAGTAGGCGGTCGTGAGGCCGAAGACGCCGGAGCCGACGATGAGGATCGAGGCGGGGACGGGGGACGACGAGGAGGTCATGGCGATGGGACGATTGGAGAGAGAGAGATACACACAAACACACGAGATCAAAAAGAGACAGAGATAGGAAATATGTACAGGGCGTGATTGTGGTGGCCCCCCCGTCTTTTTCCCCGCGCTCGCTGCGATTATCGGCGTGCGGGCGCGGCCGTGGCATTTTTTCCTGGCGGCGGCAAGTTGCGGCTCGCCTCGGCCAAAACCTCCACCACCACGTCTTTCCGACTCTCCAGCTCTACCTACGACCAACCAACCGCCGCAATGGGCGCCAAATCCGCTGCTCGTCCGCCCCCAAACAACAGCAATAAAAACAAGCCCACCCAGACCCAAGCCGCCGCCCGCCCGCCCAAACCCCTCGAGTTCGCCCCGCGCGCGCGCAAGCCAGCTCCACGCCCCGCACGCGCAGCAGCAGCAGCACCACCACCACCACCACCGCCCAATGCAGCAACGACGCTCTCGCGCGCGCGCCGCATCCCGCTCTACGCGGCCCTAGGCGTCGCCAGCGCGACAGGCCTGTACGTCGCGTTCCTGGCGCACTCGCTACTGCGGCCCTACGAGCCCGCATACGCCGTCCCCGCCGACGTCGCCGACCGCTACGACAGCAACGCCGTGCGCTTCGACGCGGACGTGGACAGCATGGAGCGCAAGACGGGGATTGTGCGGCTGCGGCGGCAGCTGGCCGCGCGGGCGCGGGGCGACGTGCTCGAGGCCAGCGCGGGGACGGGCCGCAACAGCGCGTTCTATGATGGCGGAAAGGTGCGCCGTCTTGTGCTGCTGGACCGGAGCGGGGCGATGCTGGCCGAGGCGCGGCGCAAGTGGCTCGAGATCAAGCGCGAGGGGGGGCGCGCGGCGCGCGTTCGCGACGTCGAGTTCCGTGCTGCGAGTGCGCTGGACCGCATTCCTGGGCCGGGGGGCGATGCTGCTGCACGCTTCGATACCGTCGTCCAGACTATGGGGCTTTGCTCGACGCATGAGCCGGAGCTGCTGCTAAGACGGCTGGGCGACGCGGTCAAGGACGATGGCAGGATCTTTTTGCTGGAGCATGGCAGGGGCTGGTATGGCTGGTTGAATGGCTGGCTGGATAGGTCGGCGCCCGGCCATGCGGACGCGCATGGCTGCTGGTGGAATAAGGATGTTGGCGCTATTGTCGAGAGGAGCGGGCTCGAGGTCGTTGAGATCAGCCGCCCTTGGTACCATCTTGGCACGACGTGGTGGGTGGAGCTGAAGCGGGCGTCGGAGGCGGAGAGTGCGGCGGAGACGGAGTCGATGCTGGGGGTGGGGGTGGAGGGGCCAGAGGGGAAAGTGACGTCGTTCCAGGGGGCCAAAGCGACAGCAGCGGCAGCGGAAGAGGCGGGGCCACGCCCGGAGCGGAAGAGCTGGCTGTGGGGGCGGGCGTGAAAGCGGTCGTGAAGGCGGGAGTGAGGACCGGCGCACCGTGCCACCACGGCGGGCGGAGGAGCAAAAAGCATTGAGCAAGCAAGCACCACACACCCGTAACCGCCTAAGGTTCTCCACACTGTTGGCACTGCTGCCGCAGCGTTAGCGTCAACGTCAACGTCAATTTCTTGCCCGGCGCGCCAAACGCTGCACGCGGCAGGAGGCGCGACGAGTGCGGGTGCGCGCTTGGGGTTTGCTTTCTGCTGTCTGCTGTCTGCTCTCTGCTTTCACACAGCACAGGCTCAGCGACAGCTTAAGGCACGGCTCCAATGCAATGTATGCGTGCATGAGGAGAGGCGCTGTATGTCCGGCAGTGTAGACGCGTAGACGTGTAGACGTGGAGACGGTGTAGGCGGCACAGCACAGCACACATCCACTACCATACGTACACGATAGCAATAACGAAGGCGTTATACCCCCCTCCCGTCTCTAGTCTCTTTTTTTTTTTTTTTTTTTCTCTTCTTTTTACGCTCTTCCGTTCCTCCCCTCTTCCACTGCTCTCTCCACTCCTCTCCACAGCACCCTACCTTACCCCACACCGTACTAGCCGCCGTCGGTCGTCAGACAAACGGCAGCTGCGGGCGTGTGCGTGTGCGTGGGCGCTCCTGACACCCGGTGCAACGCCAGTTGCCTGCGCCTGCGGGGTGTACTATGTAGGTGGTAGTGGTGTGTTTGTGCTGCTTGGTGCGCTGGGTGCGCTGTGCGTGATGGGGGGAGGGGTAGGGGGTGTGAGGGGTGGGTGATGGAGGCGTTTGGTTGTTTGTGGTGGTGGTGGTGGTGGTGGACAGCAGGGCAGATGAGTGAATGGGAGAGTGGATGGCGAGGTGAGTGGAGTTAATGAGCGAAAGTGAGCGCTACGAAAGGCGCTTGGGGGTCTGGTGTTTGATGTTTGTGCTTGTTGCGTTGAGTTGCGTTGCGTTCTCTTGTAGAGGTGTCGTGGTGGTGATGGTTGGCTGGGCAAGACATGTGGTTCTGGGAAGATAGAGAGAGTGTGTGGGGAGGGGTTGTTTTGTGTATGTATTTGTTTGTTTGTTTGTGTGTGCATATATGTTTTAGTAGAGGTAGGAGTAGGTAAGGAGAAGGTGTACGCAAGGTAGAATAGAGCGTAGAGCGTACCTACATAGGTACGTCATATATATAAGAGTAGCGATAACAGATAGCTCTACTCGTAAATAGGAACTCTCCTCACTCTCCTACCTATTTCTACTTTCTATACCCCATCCTCCCTCACCACCGCCAACCCCACAGACACCGCACCAACCAGCACCGCCCCCAGGATCAGCCTAGCCCCTACCGTACGCGCACCTACCTACCTATCCCCAGATAGATCCTCCTCTAAGAACCTAGAGTAAGATCCTACGATGCCCGCGCTCCGATCCCGCGATCCCGCGATCTGAGCCGATCTCGATCGCGATCGCGGGTGTGCGTGCGTGCGGGCGTGCGTGCGCGGAGGGGGCCGGGACCGGGGCGCGGAGGGGTCGCGGCCCTGCGGCGGGGAAGGGGTTGTGTGTGCGCGATGGTTGGGTGCGTGGGTGCGTGGGTGCGTGGGTGCGGGGGGTGGGATGGATTGATGGCGGGGAGAGGGAGGGCGAGGGGTGGATGGGTGGACGGGTTTGATGAGATGATGGAGGGAGGGAGGGGTGGTCGCGTGTTTGATGTTTGGTGCGCAGAGGTGCGAAGGATGGGATGGCTTGCGTGCCTGTGAGTAGAGTAGGTAGGTGGCTGGCTTTGTGTGGAGAGTGCTCGCTGCGTCGTGTGCCTGCCTCGAGTATGAGGTAGAGGACCTACTTCGTACTCCAGGAATGTCGACGGCACACGGGACCAGAGAGCAGAGTACCTATGTACCTACACCCACCCGGCCGTCCCGCACGGCACAGCAGCAGCAGTACAAATATCTATGTAGAGTACTCTAGACACCCATCGTACTCTAGGCAAAGCAAAAGCAAACCCAAGTACCTCCGCAGCACGGCCGGGGGGACCTGGGGCGGGGCCCAGCGAACGGCAGGGACGGTATGTACGACGCGCTCATCCCTCGTCGTGCACCATCAACCGTCGTCGTCGTCGACGTTCGCATCGTCCCGCCCTCGCCCTCGTCGCATGGATGTCTCGCGTGCATCTCGTGCGTACTGCGTACTGCGTTCTGTCCATGCGTACGCACGTACGGATTACTATACACATACGTACTGTACGGACGATGCTCGTACGTGCGTGCATGCGTGCAGGACTCGTACGTGCGTATGTATGTACATAGAGTACCGTGACGAGCGGGATATGTAGCTACCTGTCGCAAATCGCAAAGCGCAAATCGCAAAACGCGCGAGATGCGCCTGTGCCCACGTCGCGCCCAACCAGCCCAGCCTGGGGAAAAAGAGACAAGAGACAAGCAGAAGAAAGAATGACAGAAAACGACGAGCAAGGATCGCGCCCAAACGCGCCACGCGCGTTGCGCGCCCGCCCAAGCCCTTCCATCGCTCTCTTTTTTCGCGCTGTTGCTCCCTGCCTGCTGCTGTCTGCCTTGCTTGCTTGCTTGCTTGCTTGCTTGGCGCAGGACTGGGGTGGGCTGGCTGGGTTATGAGTACGATTACTCTAGGAGTACACCTGGGTGGACAGTACTCCGTAGGTAGTGACTGGGTAGTGGCGACTGGGTGGTGACTGGGCGATGGTGGAGGTGGCCAACGGCCGCAGCGATCCTTCGCTCCCCTCCCCTCCGCGCGGGACGGGGAACGCGAGACGCACGACGCACGACGCAGGAGCAACCCTGGGGTGGAAGGATGCGCGTCCCGCGTCTCGCGTCTTGCGTCCTGCGTCCTGCGCGTGCACGCATGGGGAGGGATCGGGGGCTTGGGGCTTGGTGCTTGGTGCTTGGTGCTTGGTGTGGGCTGGGCAAGCGAGGGGACGGCAAACCAGACAGACGGGGGGTTACAGTGCTGGAGGGAGGGTTTGTGTGCCGGGGGATTGGTGCCTGGCTACTGGCTGACTGGCTGGTTGGCTGGCTGGGTGTGGTCACTGGTCGTGTGTGTGTGCGGCTGGGCGGTGGGCTTTTTCCTTGTTTGAGGAAGTGCAGTGGTTCAGTGTTTGTTACTTGCTGCTGGCCCTGCTCGTCCTAATTTGCTCGCCTGCTTGTCGCCGCCGCCGCTCGCAGCGCGCGTTCAGCTGCTGTGCGCGCCGGGTTCTGCCAGGGCGAAAAAGCCAAGAGCAAGCCTAAGGCAAGGGCAAGGCGTGGTGATCCGGCCGCGCGTGGCTGGGCTGCGCGGAGCGGCGGTTGCGTCGCGCGATGATGATGGTAGCGGACGGGCGAAATGACGATAGACATGACGACGGCGGCGATGGAAAATAACGATGATGCTGTTGTTGGCCGCATCTCCACAGGGGCAAGTGAAAGACGGCGCCCGATTGGGCATATAGATGTACCTATCACGTCGCAGCTAGATTGGGAGGCAGAGCGGTGTGCCTGCTGCCTGCCATATGCAAACACACTTCACACGAGGTAGCATTGGCCGTGGTTGGCATTGCCGTGGCGACGACGTGCCTGACGAGAAAGAAGGCGGCGTTTGTTGTTGTGACAAACACGGAACACGCGCCCGCCCACCCACACACACCAGTCGGCTGTTGCGAAGCGCCGACCCGCAGTCCAGAAAAAATGGCGAGAAGGAAAAAAAAAAAAAAAAAAAGTGCGGGCCAGCAATCGCTCATGCGCGGCGGGCTGGTGGCCAGTGAAGTAGCAGCGAATTATGTGATAGCGCCGACCGTTTGGGCCACTGGGCGCCACTAGCGTTGCAGGCGATCTTCGACATGGCTTCGACGGGCCTTCTCTCGCGCGGAAAACGACCGGCATGCGGCGGATGAGGCAGCACGCGAGCAGGGAGACGACATCCGATTGTCGTCGTTTGCTGTTGTTGGAAAAGGAAGAGCGTTGAGTTTCCCTCCCCCCTCTCGCCTCCCCGAAGTATAACGGCATGAAAAAAATAAAAATAAAAAAGCAAATATCGAATGCCTGCCTGTCTGCTGTGGCCCCTGCTCGCGTGGTGAAAATAGAAAATACCCGTCGGCGGATGGCTGACGAAAAGTCCCCCCCCAAGCTGTGCTAGAGTGTTTTGGGCAACGGGCCTGCTCTGCTACGGGACAACCAATTCGCATCCCCCTTCCCTCCGACTTCAGGCTCGTGAGACCGTCATCCAGCCCGCCGCCGCTCTCGTCCGTCCGCGCCGTTCGGCTTGCCCGTCCGTCTTTGCCTGTCTCTCCTTCCATCTCTCCTCGACCACCACCACTACCACGACACCACCACTACGTCTACCACGACAACAACGACAATCAATCCTACTCTCCCCCTCCCCGCCAACTCATCAGGCCCCACCGACACCACCTCGCCCATCTTCTGTTTACCTTGTAGCATTTTATCGCGTCTGTATCTGTTACATATTGTTGGTTGCTGGCAACTGCTGCTCGATTACCGTGTCAATCCACCGCACGCACTGGTCCTCTGTCGCGCCGCGAGCCCCCTGGACCCCTCCTCCCACCACATCGTCACCCGAACCACCGCCAGCAAACACAGGTCAGCTTTGCTGCTCGTTTGCATTCCTCCGCCCCCCCGCGTCGCCACCAATAGGACCCTTTCCGTCCATTTTTCTCCTCAGCCACAACAAACCCGCTAGCCCGCCGCCTGCCTGTCGCGCGACAGCCGGAGTCGTCCCGCCTCGCCGCCATCAACACCAGCCCGCCGCCCGTTGCATCCTTCCGCCAAAAATGCCCTACAACACCAGGCGCAAGTCGCTGTCGCTACCCATGCTCGGCATCCAGCTCCCAAACAGCTCGCGATCGTCGTCGCATCGCTCACCGCCTTCCTCCAACACGCCTCAATCCGACCAGCCGCCGCAGAAGAAGATCAAGCGCGTCCATGCCGCCAGCACTGCGTCATCCTCTTCGCCACTGAGCCCCTCCGTGTCAAAGCTCCCCAAGAACGCCAGCAGGGTCGTCGAAAACACCCCGCCGCCCTCGCCCCGCGCCGATGGCCAGGTCAAGGTTGACACCGAGGGCATCAACGACGACATTGTCGTCGCCGTGATACAGCAGCTCGAGGAGACGGGCAACAGGCCCCACCTGCTGAAGGAGCTGGCCGCCGTGCTCGCCACCCAACTGCCCATTGTCGAAAGGTATGCGCCTGACGCGTCTTCCCGTTGTCGTAGCAACCCGACTAACTTCCCTCGCAGCTCGGCCAACCCCTCCGCCATCATCTCCTCGCGCCTGACGGCCTACATCCGCCGCCCCTGGACCGCGCTGGCGCCCTGCCCCGTGGGCAAGGAGCTTGTTGGCACCCACCCCAAGCGCATCTACTTCTTCCTGACGACGTCGCCGCACCAGCCTATCCCGGAGCCCGCCGAGTCGTCCACCGCTGCACCCGCTCGCATTATCTCGCCCTCGCTCTCATCCGCGGCCGATGACTCAGAGGAGGAAGAACGCGACGCGCGTACGCGTTCCGCAATGTCGCCCTCGCCGGAGGTAGATCTGTCGTCGCCCGAGCTCGACGACGAAGGCAGCGAGACATCGACGACGTTCTCGGGCCGCAGCTCGCTGCTGCGCGACGGGCCACACCCGGCCACGACTAGCAACATGGCGCACAACCGACGGGCGGCGAGTCCGCCGCTGGAGCGCGACGAGCGCGAGTTCACAGCCACGGCGTCGTCGCTGCAACAGCGCAGCCGCAGCCAGGAGTCGGAGACCAAGCCCGCCGTCTTCTCCGTGCCGATGGACACGCACGCCGAGGACGCCGCCGGCGAGGAGTCGGAGGAGAGCGCCGCCCAGCGCAATTCCGAGGCCGCGGCGCTGCTGTTCGGCCAGAGCGTCGAGAGCAATACCTCCTCTGCGGCCTCGGCCTCGGCGGCCATGGACTTTGGCATGGCGAGCCCGGTGCTGCGGCCGCTGCAGAGCGTCGAGGATCGGAAACGCAACCTCGATTCCATGGAGGACGTGCGTGTGCTCGATGCCGATGACGCTGGGCTGGGCTGGGCGTGGGACCAGTGGAAGAGCCCTGAGCACGTCGAGCTGGACGAGCTTGATGACCTGCTCGGCGACTACTGAGCGGGGTTGCTGCTGTGTTGTCGTTGTCTCGGCTCACCACACCACTCCGTCCGTCCGTCCGTCCGGTCCTTTGTCGTCGCTGTTGTGCACTTCGAGCGCCGACGTCACGTGATTGCATCCCTTGAGAGCATCATCATCATTCTGCTTCTCATCTGTCATTTTTCGAGTTTGTTATCTGTCTCAAATCGCAAAAGAGGGAGCGCGGGAAAAGGGCGTCTGATCGGGCGTTTATTCCGGAGGTTTTGTCTTTTTGTTTGTCTGTCTGTCCCGAATACTTGAGGCTGCTTTGACGGCTGCTCTGTGGCGTTATGTTGTTGGGGTTGGCTTGTCTGCTTTTGGTGCGCTCACTCTCTTCTCCCTCGATCTCTCTTTCTCTCGCTCTTTGTCTCGCTCGCTGAGATGATGCAGGCACGCAAGAGCGCCGTCTGCCTGCTTGCCTGCCTGTCTGCCTGGCTGGTTTTGCTGCCCGCTGGGTTTCTGGCGCGGTGCGCGCACGCTTGCTTGCATGCTGTGCTGGTCGCATGATGGTTACGATCACCATGCGCGTTGTCGTCTGTAGGACGTCGTTTCTTCTTTCGTTTCTCTTCTTCCTCGTCGTCTTCTTCTCCTCCGTTCTGGCGCCACAGCATCCTGTCGTCGCGCTCTTTCTTCCGTTTCTCTCCAGACCTGTGAACCGCTGCGCTATGCGCTATGCACTACGCACCTTCTGGCTCGTGGGAAAGAGGTTTTCTCGTCTTTTGACAAGAGGAGGGGTGGGGATCCAAGCGAGAAGAGCAGAGCAGGCAGCATCGTGCTGGATGCACGGTTTGAGCACCTTGAGGGCGGTTGGGCGCTCTGACTGGCTTTGGGGAACGAGCGGAAACGTGGCTGCTTTCTTTGAAGAGAGATGATGAAAAAAAAGAAGAAGAAGAAGAGATGGCGAGAATGGGAGGCAGCGCGCGTGTTGTGTGTGTGGCTGTGGCTGTTTGTTGTTGCTGTTGTAAGATTGTTTAGATATGGGTTACGGCTGTCTGTCTCTGGCGATGTCTTGCGCTGATGTCTGAATGGATGGATGGATGGATGGGTTGGATGCACGCTTGCTTGCTTGCGCGCTTGTAGGGTGTACGCTATGCTATGTAGGCCGGAGATGAAATAAGTAGGTTGGATGAGTATTGATTGCTACTACTACTGCTGCTGCTGCTACTGCTACTACTATTGTTGTTGTTGTAGTTACTGCTAACGATACTGAGACAACATCCTGAATGTGTGCTGTGTAAGGTATCTCTCGTTCTCCCGACCACACAAGAGCCAGCATTCCCGCCTCCAGTATCTCGCTCCTCCACCCATTCATTCCCCCACCCATCCCCCATCCATCGCCAGCCCAGCCCAGCCCATCCCCAGCCAACAAAACAGCCAGCAAACCAAAACAGCAAACCAGCCAGCGCACCCCACGCCAAGCCCAAACTACCGTACGTACAATAGTACTCTACCTAGCTAGCGCGCTCGAAGCAGCTCCGGCCGGGTCTCCGGCGCTCCGCTGTCGGCTGCCAATCGCCAATCGCGGGTGGGGCCGCACGTGGTGGGTGGGTGGAGCAGGGTGTTTGAGACAGGCTCGAGTGCTGGGGTTGGATTGGGCTGGGCTGGGCTGGGTTGGGCGCGACGTGCGCAAGCGCTGATATTGTAGGGCGGGGTGTGGGTGTGGGGGGTGCTGAGATGCTAGCGACTGCGTGCCTGAGCTGTGCGGGTCGAGGGCTGGCGCTGGATTGGGTGGGTAGGTGGTGTAGTGAAGTGGGGAAGAAATAAGGCAGCGGTTTACCTACCTAGGGAATGACAGGAACGGTTTGGCCTGCTGGCTGGCCTGCTGGCTGGCCTGCTGGCTGGCTGCAAGGTGCGCGGTGCGGGAGCTAAAGCACGCGGGTAGGGTCGCTGCTGCAGGGGCGGGCATCCTTTGCGATCCCATCGTTCGTTTGCCGAGCGAGGTGGTGCCTTGCGTGCGTGCCGTGCGTGCGTGTGCGTCTTACATCCCTACCTACGCGCAAATCCTACCTACCTACCTAACCTACATAGGCACGGCCAGCATCAAATACCTACCTGTCTACCCGGCCGTGCGGGCGCAACGACAGGGGAGAAAGAAAAGGAGGAAGGGGAACGCGACCGCGACGCGTGCAGTGGGAAATTGAGGGAGCAAGAGCTTGGACGGCGGACGGGCTTCTGTCAGCAGCTGGCAGGCAGGCTGGAAAGACGCGGACGCGGACGCGGACGGCACGGCTAGCTGCACGCGCGCGTGCGAGAGCGAGGGAGAGAGAGAGCCCAAGGCCCAAGACCCGAGACCCAAGGCCCAACCAAGCACCTACCTATCCAACAAACCCCAAGCAAGGCGACCCTACCCTGCCGACCAGGAAGCCTTAGCAACAGCCAGCGCGCGCCAGGCGCGCAACCACATCCACATCCACCAGCGCACCCACCAGCGCAGCAAACAGCACACGGCACACGGCACGCCAACCAGCCCAGCACAGCACAGCACAGCGCAACGCAGCGCAGCGACAATGTCAGACCGCTCGCGCTCACGCTCGGACTCGCCATTCGTGCTCGTGGAGCGGCGGCGCGGCCACCACAGCCACTACGGCGGTCTCCACCATGGCGATACTCCCCCCCACCGCCACGGGAGTGTCCGCGACCCCGATCGCGACTTCGATGTCGGCTATAGTCGTAGCCGGCGCGCCCGCCCGGTTTCGGTTGCTGTTGATCCGGTGCGCGAGGGTGGGCATGCGTATGATGAGTACGAGCGCCGCGGCGGTGGTGGGGGCGAGGAGTACGGGTATAGTGGCCGAGGAAGTGGACGGCGTGAGCGGGAGTGGGTGAGCGCGGGGAGGGGGGACGAGGAGCGCGAGGCGAGGCGGTACACGGTGCACGAGCGGCCGTCGGGGCGGCGGAGTGAGCGGGAGGGGGAGAGAGACGGGTACCGCGGCGACGGCGGGGGCCGCTACCACGACGAAGACATCTACACAACCGGACGGGCACGCTCGCGCAGCCGCTCGCGCCGCGGTGGCCGTGGTGGAGGTGGAGGAGCATACGACGCCACCGACGCCGCCGACGACGACAACATCGTCGTCGAGTACTCAGACACGTCGTCGCTGGAGGCCTCGGACGCAGGCCTCGCATACGCGTACGACGAGGACGACGTCGACGACAGCGCGGCGCATTCCCATTCGCGCACGCGCGCTCGCCGCCCCTCCACTTCCGCCGTCGTACACGACTCTGCCGTCGAGTACATCCCCGCGGGGAGTACGGCGGGCGAGCTCGGCGTCCGCGCAGCCGTGGACACGGACATGGACCCCAATGCGTCTGTGTATACGCGCGCGGATGGGGCGTTGGTGGTGCGGAGTCGGCCGGCGGAGGTGGAGATTGTGGAGGTGGTTGAGCCGGTTCGGGTGCCGGTTGAGGTGCCGGTGGCGAGGAATAGGAGTAGGAGTAGAGGGGTTGGTGGTGGTGGGGAGGATGTCGGGAGGGGGAGTAGAGGGAGTTTGGGCCGGGAGGGGCTGGGCAGACGGCCGAGTCGGGCGAGTAGGCGGAGGAGGAGGAAGAGCTTGGATTTGGGGGATGGGAGGGCGCCCGCGTTTAAGCGCTTGGTGGTCGCTTGTGATGGTGAGTTCATGTCTAGTGGAGATGGTGTTGGGGCAGAGGTTCGTTCGTTGGTGCTGGCACGGGCACTCGCTCTACGGACGGGGTTGTTGTCGTGATCCTACCCTATCTATGGCAGTGATGGACGAGGCCTTCCTCACTGGCATTTCTTACCATGGGTTTTGAAGATGCGAACAGTGCTGACGCGAACAGGCACTTGGCTCAACGCGGATAACGGCATGAACAACGGCGAGCTGGCTATTCCGAGTAACGTCACGCGCATCTCGCGGGCCATCAGACCTATGAGCAAGGACGGTATACCTCAAGTTGTCTATTACCAGTTTGGCGTGGGCTCGAGGGGCAACGTCTTGGATAAAATCGTTGGTGGTATGTCTGGTCTCTTTTCTATCTTTGCCTTTTCCTTCCTGTCTTCCACTGTTTGATACCCATATCCAATCAATGCTTTCACACTTCTACCACTGGCCTCTGGCCTCTACCGCCTAGTCACTGCATGTCAGCAAACACTGATATCTCACTCCCACCAGGCACAACCGGCAGCGGCATAGAAGAAAACGTCCGAGAAGCCTACGCCTTCCTCAGCAATAACTACTCCCCCGGCGACGAGATCATCCTTATCGGCTTCTCGCGCGGTGCCTTCACTGCGCGCAGCGTCGCCGGCCTGATTTGCGAAATCGGCATGCTGACGAAAAAGGGCTTGCCTGCATTCGTGCCTATCTTCGAGGACGTCCAGCACAGACGAGACCACAAATACAAGGACAAGAACCCGACGATCCCCTTCTCCAACAAGCCCAACGCGTGTGATCCGCGCTACCGCGAAGAGCTAGAACGGCGAGGCCTGACTGATCTAGACGTCACGGTCAAAGCCATCGGCGTGTGGGACACGGTCGGCTCATTGGGCGCGCCACGCATAGGCTGGCTGACGCGGGTGGGGATCCAGCCGACGCAATCCCACGAGATGAAGTTCTACGACACCAAGCTCTCCAATAGCATCGAGCACGCCTTCCAAGCGCTCGCGCTCGACGAAAAGCGCGCCGCCTTCGCGCCCGCCGTGTGGGAAAAACCACGAGGCAACACGACGGTGCTGCGACAGGTATGGTTTCCAGGCGTGCACAGCAACATCGGCGGCGGCTACGACGACCAACAACTCGCCAACATCACCCTCGCCTGGATGGCCGCCCAGCTCTCCCCCTTCCTCGACTTCCGCACCAAATACCTCCTCGCCCAAGACGACGCCGCAGCCCGCTACTACGTGAAGCGCCACGAGACGCCGCGTCCTTGGGCGTTCGGCACCATCCCAAACTCCGCCATGGGCTTGTACGCCCTCGCGGGCACGACTGCCCGTTGCCCCGGCACGTACCACGCCGTAGATCCGCACACCGGGCGCGTGACCCCCCGTCCCCTGCGCGACACTTGCGAGTACGTGCACCCGAGCGTGCGGGCGCGGCTGCGGCTCGGCGGGCCGGGCGAGGCGGACAAGGGAAAGTATAGCGCTGGGCCGCTGACGCGGGCGTGGCGGCTTGTGGTCGGGGAGAGTGAGGGCGAGGACGGCGCGCCGAGCGTCGTGTGGCGGCCCGTGAGGGGGAGGGAGGTCGAAAGCGGGGCGCCCAAGGTCCTGCCTGAGAGCCCGTTGTGGCGGCTTGAGCGCGAGTTGTGTGCGAGGGATCCTGAGACTTTCGATTATGTTGTTGCGCCGCCGAGGACGAGGGGGAGGGACAAGGCGCATGCGAGGAGAAGGAGGAGTAGGAGTAGGGCTGGTGGGGAGGGGAGGGACAGGAGTGAGTGGAGGAGGAGTGTGGGATGAGTGAACTACGGCGAATGTGTAAGAGTACGGTACTTGCGTAGATGTGTGCCGCTGTAGGTATACCCCCCATCGACCAAATATCACAGACCCAAAGCTGAAATAGAGCAGTGCGCTTCACAGTGCCGTGCCATCTCCCTCCGCCTCGGCTTGGGGCCTGCGTACATGCGTGTCGCCATGGGTACGAAATCAATTTCATCCCCCCACGACACCATGTCGTAGAGCCAGAGGTGCATCAGAGCCGCGTGGTGTACCATGGCGTGCCATGTCCCCTTCTGCTTGCCTTGTCCTCACACCGTCGGGCTTTCTGCGAGGAGACTGGACTGAGCTGGACTTGTCAGCGGCAGACATCAACGAATGTATGAAGAAAAGGCTTACCGATGACCGCTCTCCACTCATCAGCCATCGACATCACGGATAATGGTGTCGAAGGCAATGTCCTCGAGATGGAGACGAACTTGGTGGCAGCGAAGAACCTTGAGGTGGATAAAAAGGTATGGAGGCGCTGAAGGAGAGGAAGCACCAGCAATGTCGACACTATCGCCGCTTCCCAAAGCAGCAGCAGCAACCGGGCGCACCTACCCCGACCGCTGTCGCCTTTTTCTTCCTCTTCCTCGTCCTTCTACTCTTCTCTCTACATACCCACCTCCTCGTTCACCTCATCCTCCTCCACAACCATCAGCAGGCCTAGTATGTCTACCTGAGGTTTCCCTCGTGCCAGCCACAGAACATTTGCTAACGCGTGGATGTCAGGTTTTTCTCTCTTCCGGCAGCGTCGGCCGCCACTGCCACCATCACTACCACCACTACTACTACTATTACTACCACTACACCGTAAGTCTACTTGAAGTTGTTCTCGTCGCATGGGGCTAGAAGCCGTCTCTTGGGCACGGAGCAGCTGCTAACGCGTGGATAGCAGATCCTCTCCCTCCCTCTCTCTCTCCTCCCGACTGCCCGCGCCCCGCCATCCGCGCCACCGCCGCCAACAGTAAGTCTATTTGCAGATCTTTCCATTGCCTGGGGTTGGAGGGGGCCCCGTGGGTATAGAGCATCTGCTAATGTATAAGTACTAGACATGGTCGCCGCCGCCAAGGAAGCAGCCTTGAGTGCTGCTGTTGTTGCTACTGCCGCTGCTACTGTGGCAACCCCCGCTGCCGCCTCTGCCCCTGCTGCCCACACCCTCGTCCCCGAGGCCCCGCCACGCCGCCGTCAGGGCCCCTCCCCGTGCGCCCTCGCACGCCGAGGATATGTACGAGTACGAGGAGGAGGACGAAGAGGAGCAGGGGGGTTAGGTAAGCACAGTCTCCCACTTCCTTGGAAAGCATGCTAACCTGAGGGTATCTCCAGCGGGCTGTAGGGCCTTTTTTTGTGTTTTGTTTTGCTGTTGGGGGGGAGGGGGGTTGGTTTGGTTGCTTGCCTTGCTTGCCTACTTACTTGCTTACTTGCTTGCTTGCCTGCTTGCTTGCCTGCTTGCTTGCTTACTTGCTAAACGTTGGTTTATTCTTGATTTTGAAGCCATGCATCACGTGCCACTACCCATCCTTTACCATGCTATCCTCGCACTCACAAACACAGAGTGCAGCGGGGCTAATAAGCTAATGATGATGGTTGGAGAGTAGCAGAGTGCGGAACGGTCCAACTAAACCCTCGACTGAGTTGGACCAAATAGACGGTTTCCTAATTAGATACGGTTTAGTCTCTACTAGTAAGGGTCTGAAAGGACCCTCGTCGGGCTGAATTCGACTGTATCATAGGGCCTTGGCATAGTGTTGTCCGCAAAAGTATGTTTAGATTACCGCATTAGGCTAAGCGCCTACTATAAGCAGCTGCCGCCGCGCGTCTGCTACGAAATACTATACGCAATACAACACGGTTTTAGGCACAAACCAAACCCGACTATAGCGGACGAGTTAGCGGCTGAATCGACCGCTTGGTGATAGAGAGCTATAGGTTATTGCGTGGTGTTGTGCTAATTCAATTCGACTCGTCTTTTACTATTCATAACCCTGGGCGAGATTGGACCGACTGAATTTCGACTGGACCGTTCCGCACTCTGGAGAGTAGTCGTCAGTAAGGTTTCTCTTATACCCTCGTCGATGTCTGCTGCTGACAAGCCTAACCTAGTTCACTCCCTTTACAAGAATAAAGCCAGTGGAGGTAAGTATGGCATGTGTTGAATAGCAAACGTAAGGTCACAACCTAAGCTCTTAACTTCTCTATAGCTCTATAGTCTTATTATTTTGTTCTTCTATAGGGTTTAGTCTTCTAAAACAAGTACTAATTATTTGGAACGTTTGAGATCTGCTAGCAACTGCTTTCGGGATGTCTTGTTCATAATCTGATCCCGCAATATTAAACGATTGAAAAAATGAACAAAATGGTCGGTACGGATAAGTATGCGGTGCAAAAGAATCCGAACCACCTCAAGCCCATGAGTGCTGCCATACTGAAGTGCTACGATTTCCCACTTTTTTCTCTCCCGTAGATAGGAACCCATTCCATGTACTCATGAACTGAACTCTCGGTCGGTATGCTCGTCGTTCATACCGGAGTATGCATGCTTCAGTGCGTGTATGAGTCCGTATCTCCATAACTTGGAGCTGTGGCATCACTTGTGCTGCCCCTGCTGCGGCCCAATTAACGAGGTGGTAAGTTCTGGGGTTGAGGGTGCTAGAAGTAAGGGACAGGTACTTCAAGTTTTTCCAATATATTCCCTTCTTTTCGCTTGGGCAGATTCCAGGACGGAAGGGAGCAAAAAGGTACATCGCGTCGATGTAATTTGAAAGGTGTAGTCCATCAAGCCGCTGGCTACTCCTAATGAAATATTCACTCAGAGTGCTACTGTCCGGCCACACCTCGGAATCATGCCATATCCAATGGAGGCGCTCATAGTTGCAGTCTTGCCAAATCGTTACTCTTCTTAAACTCTCCGCATGATTGAGAATATCGAGGATGTCGATATTGTTTTGTAGTTCTAAATCACCATTTTCGTCCCTGATAGTACGGCTCATTTCACTCCACGGCTCGTATGTGAAGCTCTCAAGCTGGGTTAAGCATTGAATAATGAGGTTCAGAGCATCCGTGATTGAGAACGCCCGATAGAACTGGCGACGGATCACAAGAGACTGGATCACCTTGACTTTCGGCAATATTGGAAGCAACTCCCCATGATATACAGCCAGAAATAAGCCACAAATTGGTCCAAAGATCCTGTCCACGGCACCCTCTGGTGGTTCTTTAACTCTTTGTCCTTTTATCCAGCCATGAGTCTGGCTGTGGGGTGGTTTTTTGAAACTAAGCGTCTTTCCACTCCGTCCATTGTCGTGGATCCGGCTGTCGATACCCAAAAAATAGTGTTTCCCGTCGCTTTCAGAATGGGCGCTCAATTCCAGTGTAACGCCCTTTTCACTGGCGGCATACGGTCCTTTGCTTTCCCAAGTGGACAAAATGCCAAAGAGGCCACGGATAGCCTTGATGAACATGGCGTTATTCCTTTGGATTTCTTCTAATGACTCCGGCTTGTCACAGCGCTCGCAGTTATACCGGGGGATCCTCAGTCGCAACCAAATCCATCTTACGAGCGATCTCCGTTGTTTCTGCACGATCTTGCCAAACTTGGAGACGTCGTGCTGGGATATGGCGAGATACTCAAAGTTTTTTCGCTCAAAAAAGTACTGCCACTCTCGGCTGACAGTGGCATAGCTTGCTAGTTCGTGCTTCTGGTGCTCCAGCTTTCCCACCTCTTCTAGTATCAGAAGCCGCAATTCCGCAGGTAGGTCGCCCCAGGAGATTTTCGGGCGGGAACCTCTGCGGTCCACCTTAGGCTTCTTGAATATTTGTGGCCCAGTAAAGTTTGGGCCATGTGGCCTTTTTCTTGACTCGCGATGCTGTGCGGACGATGTTGCTGTATGGGCAACCTCTAACCCTGAACGAAGGCGCATGTTGCTGGTCTGTGGCATTTTGTCCGATGTGTGGTTTGGCCTGGAAATCAAGTAAAGTTTCAAGTAGAGATGACTCGTAAAAGATTGGGAAGACTAAATAGGAAGACTAAGTGAGCTGAATGGTGTACTTGTAAGTTGCTTTATATAGGTAAGGGAAATTGGTGGTCGTGGTCAAAACAGTGACTCAAATCAGCGTCCCATGGATCAATGGGAATATGAGTAGCACGAATATCAACAAGCAAAAATAAAAACTAAGACCCCACGGCTCTTATTCTTTGTTGTTTTTCGTATCTGGATAGTCGCGAACAAATGCAGCAGAACGAAGTTCAAAGGTGCAAAAGTAAAAGTATATGACCACACCAGGGGTCGAACCTGGAATCTCTTGATTCGTAGTCAAGCGCCTTGCCATTGGGCCATGCGGCCATTTGATAAGAAAAATCTTGACACGTTTATTATATATACCCACTAAAATTTCATACCCAAACCAATGTCTTCCACCCAACCCCATGTCATGACCATCGTATCGCTTTGTAGTACAGAACACACCAAGACATAATTTTAGGGATCATTACACATAGTTGATCTCTAGCATAAACAGTAGCTCTAGACTTGTTCACAAACCTCGAGCGGAGACCTTTGAAACCGGATAAATTTCAAGAACATCGCTGCTATCTACTGTCACATTATAGAGGTTGTTCTACGAATGAGTTCAGCCCAAGACAAGCAACAAACCCAAGACTCCATACAAAAGAGTTCCATGCACTGAGCAGTTGCTTGTCTTGTGTCGGCTCACGTGTAGAAATTAGATTAAGACACGAACGAGCTAATAATTGAATTGCAAGTAAAACACTTAGCAAATATGCGGCAGCAAGCATCGAGCTTCTGAGGAAAGTCACGCTTTACCGGTCTTACGACATGTTGTGGCTTTACGACATGGTGTGGCCTCTTATTCAGTCACTCGCACTCCTTCACTTCACTTCCCTCCGCGCGACGAGTCCACCACACCAAACCCTCTCCGCACAACGCACCCCAACTCCTCTCACAATTGCTCCGCTCTCAACCCGCAACATCGCGCCGTACTGACCTTGTCTAAATTTGTATCGCAACCATGGGCGGTCACGCCTTCAGCCTTAAATACCACTGTCCCCGCCTCGCACCGTCCCTCTACAACGAAGTAGCAACGCGTCTCCTCAAACAACTACAAGACCTCTTCATACACGCTGTCGTCCCTCCATCAGCGCCAGAGAAGACATCGTTTGGAGACGTCGACGCCATTGTCTGCCTGTCGCGTGAGGCGGATGAGCCAGACTTACGCAATATGAAGGACCGTGTCAAGATGAAAATGGGCGCTGTCGCGGCGGGAGTCAACAAAAACGGCGTGCTGTTCCTGTGTGTACCACTGCCAGACGACTTGCTCAAGAATGAGAGTGAGAAGGAAGAGCTGCTCAGTAGCTGTGCGAGCAACATGAGCATGAGCGACAAGAGCAAGAGTGAGGGTGAGGGTGAGGGAGAAGAGGACATAAAGGAAGAAGTGCGCGTCCTCGATGGCACCATGGCGCTCTCAGCGCCCGCCTTTGTGCAGCTAGACATCCAGCTCTGCGATGCTGCCTCCCAGCTTCCATGGACGATATTCACCATCGCTTATGGAGACCTGATCAACATCCTCAAAGTTGGCCTTTATCGCTCCGGCCTGTCACTCCGGCCCTCTGGGCTCTTCGTCCGCGTGCCACCTTCGCCAGAAGAACTGCAAGCCACGGCACCAACAGCGGCAAATGGCCGTCTGCTTTTCCTCAGCAACGACGTCGACGCCGTGCTCACATTCTTGGATCTCGATACACTTAAATACCATACCGGTTTCGCCACCATGGACGAACTGTATGGCTATGCGGCTGGAGCGAAGTTCTTCGATGCTGGAACGTTCGCAGACATCGTCGCAGGCGGCGGTAGAGATGTGGATCTAGCCGACGAGGATGACAATGATGGCGGAGACGGCGTGCTTGATGCTAAGAAGAAGGTAAGCTTACACCCGCCTATCCAGCATCCACAGCTGTTCACTACTGACGCGCGTTGGCAGCGCACACTCGCCTCCCTCAAGACCTTCGTGGCCTACGAGCTCAAGAAACGTCCGAATTGGGTACGCTTCGCACGGGAATGGCTCCCGCAGCACCACTCCCTCATCAGCACTGGGGCCGCTCCAAGCTCTCCTACCACAGGTGGCTCTCCCTCCGCCCTCGAGCCCGCCCTCGTCTTCTTCGGCGCTACGGCTCGTCACCACGCCCAAGAAGAAGCCAAGCGTGCCACCCTGGCCGAAGCCCGTTTCTGGACTCACCTTAAGGCTCTCATCCCCTCTATGGACAGCAAGCCCATGGCCACGCAGCGTGTAACCAAAATCCTACAGGCCTTGCGCAAGTACACCGTCTTCGAGTCCACTTGTGGTAGAGCGCCCCGCCCCGTCCTTTCCACAACGCCCCAGCTGGACGAGGCACAGCAGCCGCGCTGGACAGGCTATCCGGGCGGCTTCACGCAGGAGGACTTGGTGGAATGGGTTCGCGGGATCTGGGCGGCGGCGTATGAGCTGGATCGGGCGAGGACGCGGGAGCAGAGGCATGCAAAGAAGGATGCGGCTGAGAAGCGGAAGGAAGAGAGGAGGCGCGCTGGCGCATGGAAGGCGCTGTTCGGCGAAGAGGATACAGAGGGATGGGCTTTCGGGCTGGGTGCCTGAAGAGGAAGGAAAGTGCAACAGTGTAGTTCAAGCTTGAAGAGGAAAGTGTAGCCGGGTAGCTCAATGAGAAGTAACGTGTTGCTGCGCTCCCAGTTGTAGAAGGCGCACTCTGCAGAGGTGAGAGGCAGGCACGTTCGTGGCACCGCTCTTGCTCTTCCTGTTCTCTTCTTCCCCACCAGTGGCTGCGAAGGTGCACTCTGCCCCTGCAGAGATAAGAGGCAGGCACGCCCGTGATTACCGCGCTTACCCTCGCTTCTCCTTCTCTTCCTCCTACTCTTCCTCTTATTCTTCTTCTCCAACTCCTCTCTTCTCTTCTCCGCAATATGCTTATCCCACTGCCGCCCTGCCCACCAACGACGACGACAACAACGACGACGACAACAACGACGACGACGCCGCCGCCGCCAACGAAGCAGCCGTGGGCGCTGTTGTTGCTACTGCCGCTGCTATTGCGGCTCCAGCCGCCAAGTAAGTCTTCTTGGAGCTGTCCCTCTTGAAGGGGGCTGGAAGGCGTCTCATGGGTATGGAGCATTGGCTAACGCGTGGATAGTGCGCGTCCGCTCGCCCGCCGCCCACCAGCGCTGCTCGCCGCCACCACGTAAGCCTCCTTGGAGCTGTCCCTGTTGCAGGGAGCTGGAAGGCGTCTCGTGGGTATGGCGCAGGTGCTAACGCGTGCATTGCAGTCTTCCACAATCCCGTCGCCGCCGTGCAGCCGCAGCAGCAGCAACAAGGTATGTCTGCCTGACACTGTCCTCGTTGCATGGGGCTGGAAGACGTCTCGTGGGTATGGTGCATCTGCTAACGCGTAAGTACTAGCTGCCGCCGCCACACCACCAACCCCACCACCACTACCACCACCACGCCCCGCCCGCCGCACGGCGCAGGAGCAGGCGCAGGCACAGGCGCAGACGCAGACGCAGGATGGGGTGGCGCCCCCTGACCAGTTCGTGCCGGAGCGCACGCCGCCGCCGTCGTCATACGGTCCCGTTGGGGGTGCCACCCCAGACGACACGTTTTCGTAAGTGGTCGGGGAGGACGAGGAGGGAGAGAGAACGAGGGAGAGGGAGTAGTGGGTAGTAAGTACCCCCTTTTCCTGCCCTACTTACCTCTGTACCTGCAAAGCGTGAGCTAACATGTTGTAGTTTTTTTTTTAGATTGTTTTTTTCATTTTTTATTTTATTTCATTTATTATTATTATTATTATTATTTTTTTTAAAATTTTTTGTCTTGGGGTGGGTGGGTGGATGGATGGATGGATGGATGAACGGGCGCCCGGGCGCTTTTTATTGTTTCTTTAATTTTTTTTTTGGTTGGTTGGTTGGTTGACTGGCTGGCTGGCCGAATGACATTTTTGCTTTGATTTTAAAGCCATGCATCATGTGACTCCACCCCTCCTACAGCAAAGCTAATCCCGCACTTACAACCATAGCTCGTAGCTGCGTTGCCCAAGAGGGACGAAGCCATCTTACAAGACAGGACGTATGTGTGGTCGAAGAGAGATGGAGCCATCCTATAGGGTATAGCAGCTGCGCAGTTGAAGAGGGACGAAGGCATCCCGCAGGGTCGAACAGCTGCGCAGTCGAAAAGGGACGAAGTCATCCTCTAGAGCTAGACAAACGAGCGATCGAAGAGGGACAAAGCCCTTTAGTAGGCCAGGGTAGTAGCACAGAACAAGAAGGATAAACGTATTCAATAAGACACGTACAAGCAGCCGACGCAATATGGCTGAGTGACTGACTGACTGGCTGACTGATAAGGAAGAGAGACGGCTTTTGAAATGGCGGATATTATACTAAAGAGGAGAGAAGAGAAGAGAAAAGAAGAGAAAAGAAGAGAAAAGAAGAGAAGAAAAGTAGCAAATAGACTTGCGGATAGAGGAAAGGAAAGGAAAAGACTGAAGGGGCTATATTATGCTTCTGCTTGTGTGCGTTGAGATGCTAGCGCTGCGTATGTGCCCTAACGTGCGTGCGTCTTGTGTGTCTATGTATGTATGTATGTAGGCGGTTATGGGTGGGCTGTTTGGTTGCTGAACTGGGTAGTGTATGTACTTGAGTACTGTATGTACCTATGGTGGTGTTTACGGAGGCAGCAGGCACTTTGAAGGGCGATGGTGGCGCGAGCTGGGTTGGGTTTTGGAGACGGAGACGGACGGAGAAGGCTGTTTTGTTGGCTTGATGAATGTTGTTGTGGGTTGTGGGTGATGTGCTGGTTTGTTACACAACTACCCCTCCTCTCCGCCCTCCCACACCCCACCCCCCCCACACCAGACCCCCCAGCAGCCAGCAGCCAGCAGCCAGCAGCCAGCCACCCACCCACTCCCTCGCTCACACCTTGACATCAAAGCTGGTCCCACAGCCACAACTACTGCTGGCAGCGGGGTTATCCACAATCTTGAACTGGCTGCCAATCAACTCCATGGTATAATCGACCTTGCTCCCCTTAAGGATCTCAAGGCTCGGCTCGTCCAGCACGACGCGCGCGCCGCCGTCGCTCGCAAACACCGTGTCTTCCTCTTGCGAGATCTCGGGCATTGTGGTCAAGGACATCAGGTACTGGAAGCCGTGGCACCCGCCCGATTCTACGGTTATCCGCAAGAGCAGGTCCGGGTTCGCGTCGTTTTTCATGATCTGCTTTATGCGCTGGAAGGTGTGTTAGCGGCGGTTGTTGTTGTGTGTCTATGGGAGGGGATGGGGAAGAGGGGCCGTACGTGTGCCGCGCGCGGCGTGATCTCGATATTCATCTCGTTGCCATCGTCGTCCTTGCGCGGGTTGAGGATCGCGGCGCGGCGGGGCGGGGCGGAGGTGAAGGCGCGCGCGGCAGCGGGTGGCGAGGGTCTGCGCGCAACGATGGCGCTTGTCGAGCGGGTGGTTGCGAGTGCGAGGGCGGGCGAGGGTGGCGCGGCGCGGCGGACGAGGGGCGCTTTGCTGGCGGAGAGGAAGCCTCGGCGTGCGGTGCGCATGGGCTGGAATGCGGTGGTGGGGTGGGCGCGCGCGGCGCTGTGCATGGCTCGCAGGCAGGAGGAGCAGATGGAGGGTGTGGCGGCCATGGTTGCGTGGTTGTAGGGTGTAGGACGGAGGTGGAGAGGTAGATGTAGAGGAGACGGGTGTCGGAGGCAAAATGCGGGATGGGCGGGATCGCCGCCGCCGCCCGCTGCCCCGCGTCAGCCAATGATGCAAGCGATATATAGCCCCGCAACGCAGCCAACAGCAACCTCTCTCTCTACATACTTCGCCAACCACCCAACCCGATACCATGGCGCAAAGTATCGAGCTCGACGTCCAAAAGTCCTTTACGCTCAGCTACGCCGAGTCGCTGGACGCGCAGGACCCGCTGCGGCCGCTGCGCGAGGAGTTCATCATCCCGACGCGGGCGAACCTCAAGCGCAAGCGGCTCGGCGACGAAGGCACCATTGTCGAGCTCAGCGAGAAGATCAACGCCCTGCTGCCCGAAAACGACGTGACGTACCCGAGCACGTACTTGTGCGGGAACTCGCTGGGTCTGCAGCCGCGGTGCACGCAGGAGTATGTGCGCAAGTACCTCGACACGTGGGCCTACAAGGGCGTGTACGGCCACTTCCAAGAGCTCGAGGACGCCGTGTCGCGCCCGTGGGTCGACGTGGATGAGGACGCGAAGAGGGAGACGGCCATGATTGTGGGCGCGAGGCCGGACGAGGTGGCCGTCATGGAGACGCTGACGGCCAACCTGCATCTCCTCATGGCGAGCTTCTACCGCCCGACCAAGGACAGATACAAGATCATCATCGAAGGGAAAGCCTTCCCCAGCGACCATGTGCGTGCCCATGACCCCAGTGCATAAAACAACCACCCACTCACCCAAAACAGTACGCCGTGCAATCGCAGCTGCACCACCACAACCTCACGCCGCAAGCCGCCCTCGTCGAGCTCACCCCCCCAGACCCCGCAACCGCCTACCTCCCCACCGACTACATACTCTCTGTCATCGACGCCCACGCCGACTCCACCGCCCTGCTCCTCCTCCCCGGCATCCAGTACTACAGCGGCCAGTTCTTCGACATGGCGCGCATCACGGCGCACGCGCACGCGCGCGGCATCACGGTCGGCTGGGACCTGGCGCACGCAGTCGGCAACGTGCCGCTCGAGCTGCACGCGTGGGGCGTCGACTTCGCGGCTTGGTGCAACTACAAGTACATGAACAGCGGGCCGGGCGCGATCGGCGGGCTCTTCGTGCACGAGAAGCACACGCGCGTCGAAGCCTCAACAACCACCACCACCGACACCGTCGTCAGCGCAGAAACTCTCGGCTATCGCCCCCGCCTCAGCGGCTGGTGGGGCTCGGCCAAGTCCTCGCGCTTCCAGATGACATCGACCTTCGCGCCCATCCCCGGCGCGGCCGGGTTCCAGCTCTCGAACCCCTCCGTGCTGGATACGACGGCGCTGCTCGCGTCGCTGTCCGTCTTCGCGCAGACGTCGATGCCCGCTCTGCGCGCCAAGTCGCTCAAGCTGACGGCCTATCTCGAGCACTTGCTCTTTGCGCGATCACCCACGGAAACCGCAGACACAGCAGCAGCCCGCCCATACGTCCTCCTCACGCCGCACGACCCCGCCCAGCGCGGCGCGCAACTAAGCCTGCGCCTGCGGCCCGGCCTACTCGAGCCCGTGATGCGCGATCTAGAAGCCGCGGGCGTGGTGGTGGATGAGCGGCGCCCCGACGTCGTGCGCGTCGCGCCGGCGCCGCTGTATAATGGGTTTGCGGACGTGTGGCGCTTTGTGCGGGAGTTTAAGGGGGCGTGTCGCCGGGCTGTGGAGGCGGGTGCTGGGGGTGGGGAAGGTGGTGGGGGGGGGGGGGTTGAGGGGGGGATGGGGGGACGTGAAATAGGTGGGGTGCTGGGGGGTTGTGTGGGAGGGCAGTGGAAAGAGAGTCAGACAACCAAGCAACCAAGCAAGCAAACAAGCAATCAAGCAATAAATACACACGCCAGCTGGTACCACCACCACCCACCACCATAACCAAAACCAGCCCCACGCAACCACCTAGCACCCCATCCGCCTCCCATCCCATTCCATCCTGCCCACACTCGTCAGCACACACATCTCTCTCTCTCCATCCATCATATCACATAGCCAGCGCGCCTCACCCAGCCACTCACCCACCCAGCCAACTAGGTATGGATGCCACGCCCCTGCCCTGGCCCAAAGGGACGTGACGACGAGGACACAAATGCGCAAAAGTGCAAAACGAAGGAGTGAAAGGGCAGGAAAGCGGCTTAGGTGGCCTGTCCAGAACCGTGGGGTCCGGGAGAGAATCAGTGGCGTCATGACTGGTATTACTGTCGTCGGGAGAGGAGGCGAGACATGCACACACACACACACACACACACACACACAAACGCAGAAGCAAAGCCACCACACAGTAGCAGCAGCAATAGCAGCGGTATTGGTCCATAGTGGCAGCGGTAGCGGTACCCGGCCGCAGCAGCAGTAGGTAGTAGGTAGTAGGTAGGTAGTCTGTAGCGCGACGCAGACCCAGAAGTCGAAGAAGTAAGAGAAGAAGAAGAAGAAGAAGAAGAAGAAGAGGTAGAGGAAGAAAAAAAAGGAAGAGGAGGAGGAGGAAGAAGAAGAAGAAGAAGAAGAAGAAGAAGAAGAAGAAGACACACACACTGAGCAGCAGAGCAGAGCAGAGCATACCCCATCCATCCGTCCATCCAAGCCTACCTACTAGCATACGTACGTAGGTACCTACCGTACCCCGCCCGCACTTTCGCAGCAGCAAAACGCACGCACGGCACAGCACGCTCGCACGCTCGGGACAGAACGAACAACAACAACGACAACAACCAACCCAGCAACAGCAACAGCAGCAGGCTAGAAATTCGTCATCGACGTCGGGCTCGCAAGCCCGGACCCCACGGCCGCCGCAAACGGGCTCGCTCTCGCCGCCGCTGCCGTCGCGCCGCCCACACCCACACCAAACGGCACCGAGTGGCCGGGGACAGGGCTGCCAATCTCACCCAGACCGCTGCGCGCGCGCGCGCCAGGGATGCGCATGCCGCCGACAGTGGTGGAGGAGGCGGCTGGCCCCGCCGCCAACCCCGCCGCTGCCCCCGCGCCTCCTCCTCCTCCAAGCGGGTTGTCCGGCTCGAACTTGACCGCCACGCCACCACCACCTGAGCTGGCGCTGCTGCCCTCGCGCTTCAGCAGGAACCCGCCGCCGTTGTGCGCGTCGCCCTCCGTCTCGCAGATATCGAGCACCTCGTCGAGCGAGACGGGCGCCTCGCCCGCGCCGCGGAACGTGCCCGCCTCAATCGTGCGCAGCACCGTCGCGATGTCGTAGAAGCCGTCTGGGCTGGGCGCGGACGCGGCTAGCTGCTTGCACGCCGCGCACACCATGACGCGCACCGACACGGGCCGCGAGATGCTGGCCCGGTGGTGCGGCGTGCCGCCCGCCACGCTGCCGAAGCTGCCCACGACGTGCGTCGGCCACCCGCCCCCGCTCGTCGGCGACGACCCCCACGTGCTGCCCGGCAGGCCTGGCGGTCCAAACGCCATGCCGCCCGGCGCGCCCCACGTGCTGCTGCCGCCGCTGGGGAGCCCAAACGGGTCGATGCGCGCCCGGTTCGTCGTGTCTGCAAACAGGGGCGACGTGCCAAAGGCCATGGCGCTGGATCTCGCCGTTGGCGCAATGCTGGCCCGGCGTGCTTCTGCAGCGCTCGTCGGGATCGGCTCGTCGCTGTCGTCTAGAAGGGCGCTGCTTCCTAGGTGGTTGCTCAGGTCGTCCACGTCGGCGTTCTTGGCCTTTTTGTTTTCCAGGTTATGCTCGTGGGGCTTCACGCTGGAAGGGCGTTGGATGGGCGTCGGTCTAGCAATGGGCTGCGCATGCGGACCGTCCAGCGGCGAACCAAACGTGCCCTTGTCGAACGATCCTGACGCCGATGCCTGCCTTGAATGCGACGGCATTATGTCCCGTGGAGCACTGAAGCCTGGAATCTGCGCCGCAGTGCTCATGCTGGGCACTGGAGAGCCAAAGCCAGGAGGCATATCCAACGGGAATCCCCGTCCCAGTGGCATCCCAGGAGCTCCCATGCCAGGTGGCGGCATTCCGTTTGGTTGCGGAAATCCGGGATAATGGCCGCCCATTGGAGGAGGCCCACGAGGGAACATCGGCATGCTTCCCATTGGTCCACGCTGACCAAGGCCGTGGATCATTGGCGGCGACGGGCCGTTCAAGCCCGGAAGTCCACCAAAGCCTACGCCCGGCGGTGGGAACATTCCTGGAGGAGCTCCTAACGGCGGAAGAGATGTGGCGGGTTGCGGGTGGTGCATGGTGGAGGACTGGGCGAGATTTTGAGGTTTCTGAAGGATGGTTTTCGGTTGCGTGCCGCTTTGCTGGGACGTGTTGCTCGGAGACACAGACTTACTCATACCCGGGAAAGCAGAGGGAGTATGAGGCGATGAGCTGTGCGATTCTTGTTGCGAGCTCTGCCGTGGCCGCACAGGAGTCGGAGCCTTGGGGATGTTGGGTGTCGCGATCTGTACGAGAGGCGACGGAAAGCCGGCAGAGGGTTGCTTCGAAAGCAGTCCGGGTGGCAAGGCTGGTGTCGGCTGAGACGGGCGCTTTTGTCCTTGCTGAGATGCCTGCGTGGCCTGGTCTTCCTTGCGAGCACGCTCCTTCGCCTCCTTCTCTGCCTTGATTCTTGCCTCTTTTTCCCTCCGCTGCTGCTCGGCGTGTGCCTTCTGCTCTCGTGCCTCCTTCTCTCGCGCCTCACGTTCCTCGCGCTCCCTCTTCTTAGCATCCTCCCGGGTCTTCTTTTCCAGAGCCCTCTGCTCCTGCTGTTTGCGTTCCGATTCCTGGTGACGCGCCCGATCATCCGCTAACCGCTTCTGCTTCTCAATTTCCTTCCGCTTCTTCTCTTCTTCCTGGGCCTTCCGCTCGGCTTCCTTTTTCTTCTTTGCCTCCTCTTTCTTGCGCCGTTGCTCTTCTTGCTTCTTTGCTTCGATAGCCTTGGTAGCCTCTTCTTCGGCCTTCTTCTCCGCCTCTTTGCGTGCCTTTTCTTCGGCTTGCCGTTGGCGCTGAAGAGCCTTCTTGTCCTTCTTCTTCTGGGCGTCCCTAGCCTTCTTGAGAGCCTGTTCCTCCTGCCGGCGCTCTTCCTCGGCCAATTCCTCAATCAACTTCTGCTGGCGTTCGTTTGCGACTTTTTCTCGGTAAGCGGATAGCACGCGCTGTTCGAACATACGGGCTGCGAAGATTTGGAACATCCGCCGGCCTTCGCGCATTCGCTGCTGTTCGGTCATGGAATCCTGGTCAACATTAGATGTCATCTTTATAACGCAAGAAAGATCCTCAAACCAAGTCATCCTCATCCTCCTCGTAGTCCTCGTCCTCTTGACTGTCGTACTCTTCCTCGTCATCGTAGTCCTCGTCCTCAGGCGGCGGTCCATGGTTGTGTCCTGCGTGAGAATTCTGCATGGATTGTGAATACGCAAGGCTGCCTGCGTGTTCCACGACTTGGTCCTCGCGCTGCATCCTACGCTCTGCCAGCTGTTCCATCATTTCGATGAATTTTTTGCCGTCGTTTTTTAGCAAGTCGTCTGCAACTGTGAGGATACCACCTGCCAAGCCCATCAGCCTTTCGCAAACACAACCAGTGAGATTTGGCAGACCTTTGACCGTCAGGCTGTTGCCGAAATTGAAGAAATCTGCGGCCGGACCTCTCGGAGGGAGCTCTTCGGGCTCTTCCTCGTCCTCAAGGTCCTCTTCTTCATCGCTTTCGTAATCCTCGTCGTCTTCAAACTCCTCGTCCTCTTCCTCTTCCTCCTCATCCCCCAACTCCTCGACGCGGTTTCCGGAGTCGTAGGGCGGATGCGCGGGAAGCATTCGGTCTGGAGGTAGCGGCGGGTCTTGGGTATGGCTGTAGGGCCTCCGGTTCGTTAGCATGCGGACATCCTCAGTGGAATTTTGCTCCTGGTTGCCGTACAACTCCAGCTCCTCGTAATAAGCATCATACAGGACCTCCAGCTCTTCTTCGATTGCTGTGCGCTTCCGACCGCACACGGTGCAGCTGCACGAATGCTTCTGCTGCTCTTTCATCTTGCGCAACACGGCCTCCTTCTCAATCTTGACCAGCGACTTGCGCTCTTCCTCCCCAAGCGAAAGCCAGAAATCCCTGATCCTCTCCCGTTCCTCCTGCGTCGAGGTATTCCAGATGCGATCCTTCGAGTTTGCGCTGCGCTGGACGGAGCGGAGCGCTGCGGACGAGAGCGGTGGGGGCGGTGGCGGAGGGGGAGGCGGTACCTGTGCGCCGGAATGGGGGAGCATGCCGGAAGAGCTGCCGCTGGGAAGATCATAGCCGTAGCTGAGCTGCTGACTTCCGCGCTGGCCTTTCTTCTTCTTCCTCCGCGCCTTCTTGTCGCTACCGGCGGCGGGCGGGTAGGCATCTGCGAATTGGCCGTTTGGCGCGGGGGCGCTGGCGTCGTAATCTTGAGCGTAGACCTGACGGGAGTAGGCGTGCGCCTCGTCCTCGGTGTAGTACAGATCGTCGGCGTCGGCGGACTCGAAGTGGACCGGGTCGTCAAAGTCGTCTTCGGAGGCATGCGCTTGGGGCGAGTTTGCGTGGTGTTCGGCCTGCAGCTTGGCTTGCTGCTTCGCGCGTCGCTTGGCCTTCTTGCGATTGACGGCGACGCTTTGGCCGGCGGTGAGGACGCCGTTGGTGGGTTGGGGCAGGCTCTTGGCTTGAGCCATGGTGGTGCTAGAGGGCGTGTCAGAGATGATGGCTTGACGGGGCGCGGGGCGCGGTGAAAGGGTCTGGCGCGGGAAATGTGGAGAGTGGAGAGGGCGCTTGGGATTTGGGCGCACGGAATGCAGGCACGTACGGGTGGGGAGCCACGGGAGCCAAGGGCAGTCGAAGGCAAGAAGTGTCGTGGCGAAATTGCGTGGGGGGGTTGTCGTGCGGTGCTGCTTGTCAAAGAAGGCCTGTCTACCTGCGGCCGTTTGGTGCTGAGTGCTGAGGGCCCCGGCTTAGTCAGGCTGGCGTATCACCCTCCGATCAACTCACTCGTACTGCCCATTATTTCCTGCACCCTCTCTTTCTCTCCTTGCAGCCCGCCCGCTCTCGCGCCTCCGCCTCGCTGCTGTTCCATCGTCGACTCTGCCACGCTGCTCGCCCCGTCCGCTGCCCACCCCACGCCCCGCCCGAAAGCCAAAGCCCCATCCGCCCGCGCCCGTCCAGCACACACCTTGGTGGTGGTGATGCTCCTCGCGCCCACCTAGCCTTGCCCCAGGACCCACGAAGCCCGGCCCGAGCGAGCTGTCTGTCCCTCTGCCACCGCGCTCCTCTCCCCAAAGCCTGACCACCGCCCAACGCCCTCGACGCCCTGCCCGCGCACCGAAGATACCCCAACCAGTAAACTATTTACCGGCAACCATCCCCAAAGCCAACGCATCGCAACCCCCAGGCCCCAATCCCGCCATCCAAAGCTCCCCACGGTCGCTACGAGAGCCCCTCCCGGTCCGCAAACATGGCTGCACAAGCAAACGGCGATGCTCAGGTCATGAGAAGGTATGCACTTTCCCATTCTTCGTCCGCCCGAGCCTTTGCGTTGAGCCGGATATCCGCTCCAGCACACGCGCCAGACCACACGCCATTGCCACGTTTCTCCCTGAGTCTTTTCCTTTCCCCCCAGCTCCCCCTTCCGTTGTCGTCTCGTATCCCTGCCCCTTTTACACGAATCGGGCTGCCAATGGTCTGGCGTGCGGTGCTGCGCCTCTTCGGCTTGCTCTGCTTCACTAGACGAGGCGAGGGTCGATCGCGCGCATTGGCAGCCGTGGCCCGAGCCTTAGGCACCCAAAAATAGCCCGCGCTTCCCTGTATTTCCGCGTCGCATCAGTGTCGCGGTCACCAGTTGGCCCTGCTTTCTACCACGACGTTCCACAACCACTCCCATCCCGCAAGGTGCCTCTTGCACTCTCTTCGCGTCGTGCCACCTGCTGACCACGACCCCGCCTTGCATAGGAAGCTGGTCATCATTGGCGACGGTGCATGCGGCAAAACCAGTCTGCTCAGTGTCTTTACGTTAGGCTATTTCCCCACGGTAAGTTCCCCGAGACATCGTGAAACGGTTGTTGTGAGATGAGCGCTGACCGTGACTTAGCGATACGTAAGTAGCCCTCGTTGGATTACAGCAGTGACTGGCTGCATGACTAACACGTAGCAAAGGTTCCTACCGTCTTCGAGAACTATGTCACCGACTGCCGTGTCGACGGCAAATCCGTGCAACTTGCGCTATGGGATACCGCCGGCCAGGAAGACTACGAACGACTACGGCCTCTCGCATATTCCAAGGCTCACGTGATCCTCATCGGCTACTCTGTTGATTCCCCGGATTCCCTGGAAAACGTCAAGCACAAGTGGGCCGAAGAGGCTCAGGAGCGGTGCCCCGACGTACCCATCATCCTCGTAGGCCTGAAAAAGGATCTGAGAGACGACCCTCTGGCGCAAGAGGAGATGCGGAAGAAGAGCCTCAAATTCACGACGCCCAAAGCTGGAAACGACATGAAGGAAGCGATTGGTGCGAGGAAGTACCTCGAATGCTCCTCCTTGACCGGTGATGGTGTCGACGACGTCTTTGAGGCGGCGACCAGAGCTGCACTGCTTTCTGTCGACAAGAGCGAGAGCAACGGCTGCTGCGTTATTCTGTAATGGGCCGGGTGCTTGCAGACTCTGGCAGCATATACCTATCGCATTGGGAGGTGTTTAAAGGCTTGCTTATCTACTGGGCGTTTTTGACTGACCAAGCGTCCCTGGGTTTCTGGTTTTCCTTTTCGTCGGCCAAAATTTTCCTTTTCTTCAGTTACAGCGGTAACGGTTGTAACGACGGATGATACCATCGATACGCTCTTTTGGGGTTTCTTTTAATAGCGGCTGCCAGGCCGGCTTGATTTACTGTTTATTTGTTCTGCTTCACGGCTCATATCATATCCTTGGGCGGCTGTCCGTATCCACCACCGTTCAGAGTGAACGCGGCCTGTCTCGTTGGTAAAAAGTGCGTTCGGTATATGTATCGTAATTGTGGAGATATTCTAATAGCTATTGACTTGCGCCTATATCACGCATGCACGGTGAACAAGATCGGCGACATATCCCGAACCATCCCCCACGCACGGACCCCGGAGTACTCGCATACGGGATTCTAGCTTCCATCGGAATCTCTACAATTCCGAGCCTTTTCAGGTTCGGCCAAACAGGGGCAGATCGTGCTTGAAGCAGGGTTCTTTGTGTGAACAGCAAGCACGTTGTGTAGAGTTAGAAAGCCGATTTTCCTCCGCATCGGCATATGTCTAGGCTTAGTTCAAGTTTGCCCCCATGCGAGCTCCTTAGACTATGTATTGAGAGTTTATTTCTGGGTATATGCTGATTACAAAGCCTTGTCTTACTTTTCCATACATCATTGATCAGATGAACGCTAAAGACTCTTGTATCAAGTCTAGACATTGCAATAATCTACAATCCCATAAATGTACACCACGTCCGCTATATTCCAAGGGACAGTGGACCTAGCTCTGTATTCTAGCTTCAATGGTTTTGTCGTCTTCGTAAAGGCTAAATTTGTTCGCCTTTGAAATGCCGCGGCCTACGCCGTTACCGCTTCCAGTCGTGATTCCATCCTTCCCTGCCTGGGGTGTCGGTCTGCGGCCTGGCGTACTCAATGGGGATACCGTTCCAGACACCCGTCTTCAACATGGCGGTACGGTACAGCCTGCCCACACTCTTGCCGCCCTCGGCGGTGGTCAGGCCGCTCTCGTCGATGTCCCTTAGCGCCTCGCACGCGTGGTACATGGTGTTGTACTGGCGCTCCAGTTCCATCTGCTTCTCAAGGTTGCGCTTCTTCTTGAAGAGCATCCAAGCGCGGTGAATCGTCCAATGGCGGAGAGCGCGAAGACGCGAAAAGCGGAGGGGACGCGGGGTCTTGGGGTGGTCCAGGTGGTAACGGATGTTCGCTAGAAGAATGGTCAGCCTATGTCACTTTGTTTGCGCAATGAGCTCAGAGGTCCTTACTTATCCTGGAATCCTTGGAGCCGCCCTTCTTGCGAGCTTGGAGCGCGGCGGATGTCGAGAACGGCGATGCCTTGGGGAAGGCGTTGCAGAGGGCGGGAATCTGAGCGGCGACGCGGGTCGAGGCCGGGCGGAAGACGGGCTGGAAAGCCCTCATCATGGCTAATGGCTTCATGGCGAGCGCGTGGAGGGAGACGTGATGCGACCGCGGCAGTTGGTCTGCTAGTTGCTCTCGTCCAGACGGGCCTTGTGTTTTTCCACTGGGCGGGAGCTATTTTTGACCGGTTCCGCTTCTCAGCCCTATCGTTGGTCGATCTGGGCGGTGTACGCTGCGGGTGGAGCCCTGGGGGTGAACAAGAATACCCCTCGTATCCCCCAGGCCCCGCCGACTCTTTATTACTCCCCTACTCCTCCAACTTTCCTCCTCTCCCCTCTCTCGCTTCCTTTTCCTCGCCACTCGTTGTACATCTCTCTCATCATGGACCAACAGATCTTGGAAGGCTCCCAGAAGCACCCTCAGCCGGGCAAGGTGTTCCAGTATGGCACCGCTGGTGTGAGTACATCCTCTCCAAAAGTCGCTGTCGGTCCGACAGTCACTGACTGCGATTACAGTTCCGCATGAAGGCGTATGTACCTCGTTACTCCGCTGCGTCGCGTTTGAGCCATGCAGTGAGCGCGTTTGAACGCGGTGCTAACCCTGCTCTCAACATAACAGGGACCTTCTGGACTCCGTCGTCTATCGCGTCGGTCTGCTGGCTGCCCTCCGCTCGAGGAAGCTCAATGGCCAGACCATTGGTGTCATGATCACCGCGAGCCACAACCCTCCCGAGGACAACGGTGTCAAGCTCGTGGACCCTATGGTGAGTCGGCCGGCGAAATCCCTGATGTTTTGCAACCATGCTAACAAAAATCGTTAGGGTGAAATGCTCGAGGTACGAAACCCCTAACTTAAAAACCACTCAGCGATTGACCGTTCATAGGCTTCTTGGGAAGCTCATGCCACGACCCTTGCCAACGCCGAGACCGACGAGTCGCTCGTCGAGACCTACAACAAGCTCGCCGCAGACCTGAAGGTCAAGCAGGATACTCCTGCGAGAGTCATCTTCGCCCGCGACACTCGCGCTTCTGGTTCGAGGCTTGCAGGCTGCTTGGTGGATGCCCTGAACGCGACCGGCACCGAATTCACCGACTACAAGTTCCTCACGACCCCTCAGCTGCACTACCTTGTCCGCTGCGTCAACACCAAGGGCACGCAGTACGAGTATGGCGAGGTCAGCGAGAAGGGTTACTACGAGAAGATCGGTGCTTCGTTCAGGAAGGCGATCAAGCACCGCCAGCCGTTGCTTGACGACAGTGGCAACACTGTCGAGGACAAGGGTGTCATTGTTGACTGCGCTAACGGTGTTGGTGGACCCAAGCTGAGGGAGCTGGTCAAGTACCTGCCTGGCCCCAACGAGAAGGGCGTCAAGATTCAGATCGTCAACGACGAGGTCCACAAGCCCGAGACGCTGAACTCGCAGGTAGGACTGATATGCCCCATTTGCGACAAATGGAAAACTAATTGCTTGATAGTGTGGTGCCGACTTTGTCAAGACGGGCCAGAGGGCTCCTCCCTCGTCGAAGGCCGACCCTCTTGTGAGGTGTGCGTCTCTCGACGGCGATGCTGACCGTGTTGTCTACTACTTCAACGACAAGGACGGCAAGTTTAACCTCCTCGACGGCGACCGCATTGCTACGCTCGCTGCCTCTTTCATTGGCGACCTCGCCCGCCACGCCGGTCTTGCGGACCAGCTGAAGGTCGGTGTTGTCCAGACTGCCTACGCCAACGGCGCCAGCACGAAGTACATCACCTCCGGCCTGAACCTGCCCGTTGTGTGCACTCCCACCGGCGTCAAGCACCTCCACCACGCCGCGCTGCGCTTCGACATCGGTGTTTACTTCGAGGCCAACGGCCACGGCACTGTCGTCTTCTCCCCGTCCGCGCTCAAGACCATTGAGAAGCACGAGCCGCAGTCTCCGGCTCAGCACGAGGCTCTCGAGACTCTGCAGGCTCTCACCGACCTCATTAACCAGACGGTCGGTGATGCCCTGTCGGATTTGCTCCTTGTCGAGGTCATCCTCGCTCACAAGAAGTGGGGTCCTCCCGAGTGGCTCCACACGTACAACGACCTGCCGAACCGCCTTGTCCGTGTTGAGGTCAAGGACAGGAACCTTTTCAAGGCCGTGGACGCGGAGAGGAAGCTGGAGAGCCCTGCCGGCATCCAGGACGAGATTGAGAAGCTTGTTGGCAAGTACAAGCAGGGCCGCTCGTTCGCGCGCGCTTCTGGTACGGAGGACGCGGTGCGCGTGTATGCCGAGGCGGAGAGCAGGACTGAGGCCGACGACCTTGCGCAGAAGGTCGCGGCTCTGGTGAAGCAATTTGGTGTTTAAACGGCCGTTCGCAATGATAATGCGATAGACGATTGTAGACGTTCACTGGCCGACGGCACTGAGTCCGTACATACATAGCCATTAGATAGCTATGAATTCAGCATATCGTAAAAGTAAATGCTTTGATATGTTTTTCATTAAGGATCTGCATATGTAGAGAATGATCACTGAACCGGCATTGCAAGTACCTGAGTACGTCACTGGCCGTTTGCAGGGTCTGCACAAGTCAGGAACTGCCGCTATTCTGTCCCTCAGGCCAACTTTTGGACGAATCACGATGAGCACTTGCGCACGTTTGCGGCTACAGGCTGATCGTCAACCGGCCGACACGGTTGGCGGGGCATCCTTGTCCTGACCGCCTTGTGCCTGAGGGGCAGGTGGAGTGAGTGACGCGCCTGGGACAACCCCACCAAGACGTCCCCCCAACATCATCCATCGCCGTCTCTCACACCCTTTTCATCTACTATCCATTACCACGTTTTATACCCCCATTCTATCATCCATTGATACGGTTATACTTGCTTTATGCCCTCCATCATGTCCGACCTCAACCTCCAAGAGATCCATGACTTCCTCATCGCCGTGGCCAAGAAGGCCGGCGAGATGATCACGACTGCCCGTCCTACCACCGTCGCCGCGGGCGAAAAGAAGAACTGTAAGTCAGCATCAAGCTCTCCCTTACCCCGCAGCTTCCCCGCAGCAGAGCACAGCAACGCAGCTAACACGACCCAGCCGCCGACCTAGTCACGGAGACCGACCAAGCAGTAGAGAAGATGGTGTCGACGACGCTCAAAGAGAAATACCCAGACTTTGCATTCATGGGCGAAGAGACGTACAAGCCGGGCGACCGGCTCACGGCAGCCCCGACCTTCATCGTGGACCCGATCGACGGCACGACGAACTTTGTGCACGGGTACCCGTACGTGAGCATCTCGCTCGGTCTAGCGGTAGAGCACAAGCCGACGGTGGGCGTCGTGTTCAACCCGTTCACGCAGACGCTGTACAGCGCGATCAAGGGGCGCGGCGCCTTCCTGAACCACACGACGCCGCTGCCGCTGCGGGACCCGGAGCCGCTGCGCCAGCTGGACAGCGCGGTCGTGTGCGTCGAGTGGGGCAGCGAGCGCACCGGCAACGACTACAAGGTCAAGAGCGAGACGTTCCGCAAGCTGTGCGCGAGCAAGGAGGACGGTGGCGCCATGGTCCATGGCCTGCGCTCGTTTGGCTCCGCCGCCCTTAATCTGTGTGGCGTTGCCAGCGGCGCGCTGGACTTGTATTGGGAGGGCGGCTGCTGGGCCTGGGATGTCTGCGCTGGTTGGGTCATTTTAACTGAGGCTGGTGGCTTGATTGTTGATGGCAACCCGGGGAACTGGGAGCAGAGTGTGGATGGGAGGAGGTATTTGGCTGTGAGGAAGGGTGAGGGCCAGAAGGCTATGGTGGAGGAGTTCTGGGGTTGGATCCAGGGGAAGATGGAGGTTGGTATTTAATGGCGGGACTGATGTTGGATAGTTGACCTCGTTGGCGTATATAAAAAGTATCGAAGGTAAATAAATCGCCATTCACTATAGTCTTCCGCAAATGAGGCATAACATCTGTCACAACCAACACAGCTACCTGTCGCGGCTCCACAAACAAGCTCATCATCTAAACCGCCAAATCACATTCAACCAAAACGTAAAAGCTATCCGTATATCTTCACCGCAACCACTGTGATGTTCACCTTCACCATGCAGCAGTGGCAGCGAACAACATTTACAGCAAACGTTCTTCCCTATCAATGAAGTCGGTCCCCCCCACCAGAGTTGCTGTTATCTGCCAATCATATGTGGCTCTATATACCGGCCGCTTCGCTTCTAAGCCCCACCAATTGCCCTTACTCTTAGGCTTGTGCGAAATTAACCCCGTGCTAGTTGGTTGCAAGAGTTTAGAACCTGGCAGCTGGCAGTTGTGGCGTGGTGTTTTTGAACGATCTGTTGGTCTGTCTGTCAGCTTCAAAGCAGTCGATAGATTTGTTTATACTGGAAGAGTTGGAAACGCTCTATACTCAATAGCACAGGCTATGATGTCATAGCGTCCGGTTGTGGCAGAGGCGAGGGGTAAGAAGGAAGTGGGTAGGCGGTGAATGAGATGTATGTCCGGACTTGGATATTGTTCGAATTTGTGCGTGACTATATACGGTCTTTCTGAAGCTACTTGCGACCTAAGATAGTGTAGAGAGTCTTGTGAGTGGACAAGGGCCGCGGTGGGTACACGATAGTATAGGTGTTGGTGGGGTTAAGGGCGCTGGACTTCTTGTAGTGATAGGGTTGTGTCGGCACGGAATGTCAGATTTTTGAGTGGTGAGTTCTTCGATTAAGAAGTTTATGATAGAAATGTAGTGATTGGGATAGAATTGAGGTTCAGACTTTCGTGTGTTGAGACCTACTCGGATATGAGGGACTATAGGTTATTTTCTTTACTCTGCTTCTGTCCAATATATTTTATATAGCCGAGAAAGTCGCCTAGGATTGTTCGATAGAAGATCTTTATTCTCCTGCTTGTTAAAAATCCTAAGCCCGTCCATCAATGGTAAATATAGTATCTGTGCGGAGTACTGTGGCTTTAGAATACTCTTAGAGACAAAACTAGCTCCCTAATCATTACTGTCTAGGTTTATAGCAACATTTGTATAAGTCAAGGGTCAATTCGAAGTACAATCTAGTATCACAAATAAGTGCTGGAAACAATTGGCTCTTTCAGTGATATGGCTGTGAAAGCCGTTGTTATTTCCCTCGTACACGAAATGTCTCCTCGTGTATATCCCCATCCGTTGCTCGGTCTCTTATATCCACTAACCAAATCCCTCGTCTAGATGTCGCTCCAATGCAGAACATAACTAGAGCTACAATTCGCCCTCAAAGCCCCCCACTCAAACTTCACGCTCAACCTCCAACGTTCTTCTCACGAACATACTCGAATCAACCGCTCGACGAGTCTATGAGTAGTATCTAAAAGATATCTTAGGAATACAAACTAGAATTCAGCACATTGATCGTATCGTCACGCCGAAGACTTCATCGAACTCAACGAAGTATAACATCTCATAGAAAGAGGGTGATCTGTTCGAGAACCTAAGCCTCATGACGAGTGCTGGTGGTCCTCGATGAACGGTATAAGATTCGGAGCCAACTGACACAACTACGCACCCACGTCTTTCTGCTCGAAGCAAAACACAATTGGATGGTGTCTGCAACCACTTGATTCAACGACGTCCGTGAGAGTGGGTCACGACCTGTTAGCTTTAGCTTGCCTTAACTTTTAAACGGCCAAATCAACCAATATAGCGTATCGAGCTGTTCGTTTACATCGCTACCATGAGGCAGTGATAACAATCAAAGCCAACGGGAAATGCTTATCACCAACTAAACAGTTAATCGATGTATACTCAAACAAAACCTTATAACAACACTGACTTTTATACAGGCCTACGACGAATAAGAGAGTGACCACGAGGCCCCCCTATCTTCGTATCTGTAAAGTCTGACGCAAGACTGAAAAGCTAAGTATTCCTTGGTAGCTTTGTTGATGCAGAGGTAGCTTATTATTAGGTTTTTAGAGGCTCTTTAGCCACCCTGTGTAGTAGTAGCCTTTCATGTGAGAGCATACTGCTCTACGCCGTCTACGGAATCTCTTCTCATATCAATATAAATGCTTCGCTCGGTTAGTATACCGTAAGCATATGCGGTCCCCTCTCCGTCCGCTACTAAGCGCTTGTGATTATCATCGGTATTGCTGGCAAGAAATTTCACTGACCACAAAGAAGTTGTGGAAGACATGTCCACGAGCGATGAAGACATAGCAGTCGACTACAAAGCGCGATATTGGATGTCGTCAAACTTGCCTGCAGTTAGCATGTACAGAGAACCATTTTTTCAGGCTCGTGTAAATTGTGTCGGAATTAGTCGACTGCCCACGGGTAACGGGTACGTCACGAATATGTTTATAGAGAACAAGATAACGGGGAACCCGCTTTGGCAGCGATTTCCAGTCTGGGAAACGAGGACAAGGACGAGTGTAGTGTTACTCAACCAACTTTCCTTGTAAACACCCCGTCAGTTGTCTAGCAATTTAGAGCTTCTTCAGGGACACGACCCGGTAAACATGGAGCAACAGCGGCGGTATACCAGAGAAGTATATCTCCCTTTGGAACAAATTGGTAAGCAAATACGTCGAAGAGGCACCTAACACTGACTTTCGCTTGAAAGAACAAACACTGGTACTGTCTTTTGGGGATGATATATAGCGTGTCTTGACGCGGCTGCTAAAAGCGCTCGGCCTGCTGTTGTTCACTTCCTCCGCTGTTCTGCTCAAGTGTTCAGTGACTGGGCTTATGATGCCAGTGTTTCAGAAGCCCAAGAGCAGAGACGAGGATATTGCCGCGTTCCAAAAAAGCAAAGGTGCAAAGTGTACGGGAGGCATTATTTAGTGTTTGATTACCTAGCGAACAGGTGTTCACTCTTCTCCGTGCACTCACTTAATTGCAAAGGCGAAGGCTGACAAGGCGTGTAGGAGAAAAGGACGAGAAAAAGAACTCAGGGAAGCATACCACCTAGGTACCCCCTGATCAAGCCTTCAACTCAACCTCATCCACCTCCACAGCACACCTCTACATCCCACTCAAAACAAGAAGCCGAAACCACAACGCCACAACCCAGCACGCAGCCCCGCCAACTCACCCAACTCGCTTGACCCTGTCCCCTCCCACCCCCGCAACGCAACGCGCGCAACCTCCAGTTACCGAACCCAAACCAGCAAGCATCACAAGCATCAGATTAACTAATTAATATCCTTAGATTCGATCCCTATCTGCGCAATCTCGCGCCTCTGCCTCCCAGCCAACCGCCATACAGTACAATACGTCACACGCACAGCCGCACGACCCGGATCCGCCCGACCCATGCCTATCATGGGCCATGCACCCACCTACCTACCACAGGCAGGTAGCAATGTAGCAATGCACTCTCCTACCGCTCTGCTAACAGACATGCCAGCACGCAAGCACGCACGCAAGCAAGGGACAGCGCGCAACCAACAACCACGCCCTTCGCTATCTGCAAACCAGTGAGCGGCCAGTAAGCCCGCACCCACGCGCAAGCAGCAGCAAGCAAGCAGCATCGGCACCGGCACGCCCTCCGAACCAACCCCTACCCCAGCCCCGCACCGCGCCGTAACGAGCGGCAACGGCGACGCCAACACCGTCACAAACCGCAGCAACCAGCAGCGCTGCCAGCACCCGTGGCGTCACGCACACCCCAGCACAAGCACACACACACACACACACACACACACAAAACCCGCACCGCCCACTCACTCACTACGAATCACACACCCCCTCGCGCGGCGGGACGGGTAAATCGGCCGTTTTGGCGGCGCGAACGGGTGCTGCTGGTGGTGGTGGTGGTACAGACGCGTATGTATGTATGTATGTATGTATGTATGTATGCGTGCGTGCGAGTATCAAATAATTAAACCTACTACCTACCTGGCTGGCTTGCTGCTAGGGCCAGTAGGTGGGTATTGTATATATGTACATATAGTAGCAGCAGCAGTAGGAATTATTGCAGTGGCAGTGACAGCAGGGCGGGGAGCAGGCGCAGGGTCCGCTTGCTGTTAGTTACTGCTGCTGCTGCTGCTGCGCGCGAAATCCATGTCCGCCACGCGCGCAGCCGAGGCTTGCTTTCTCAGAGCTAAAACGGCCTGGGTGGACACGTGAACGGCGCATGGGCAGCGAGCGTGGCGTTTGGCGTTTGGGGTGCTAGAGCCGCTCGGCGCGAGGCGCGAGGGAGCCTCGGCAAGGGGTTGGGGCTAGCTAGGTGTCAGGGCGTGTGCGGGCGCGCGAGGGGGCTGGGGCGGGGATGAACGCCGGAGGGAGGAATGAATGAATGAATGAAGGAGAGACGGAGGAACGGAGGTGGAGAGAAGGATGGGAGAGCTGCCGATGTAGAACCTTGTGTCGTGGTCGTGGTCGTGGTGGCACGGTGGCTCACGTACCTACTCGTGCTCTGAGGAAGCTGGAGGAGGCCGGGGGGCGAGGCCGGGGTAAAGGAATGCGGGGGAGGGAGAGGCTGGCTAGCTACTCGTAGCTACGTAGCCACTCCCCTCGCTACGCCAGCAACAGCCTAGTCCAGCATCTAGCGAAACAGCGAGCGAGCGCGCGAGCCGCCTCCTCCTCCACCACCTTGGTGACTGTCTTCGGTCCAGCAGCTCCGCGACGCAGGAGGCTTGCATGGCAAGAAGGGGTAAGTCGGGTGGCGGTGGCTTGGGCGCAGACGCAGGTGCAGCTCCAAGCAGCAGCCCCCATCACACACACAGCAACGGCGTCATCGTGCCGCAGCGACGTCGGGGTGAGCTTGTTGGTCCCGTCCGCGACTTGTCTCGCCTCTACCTAGCTCCGACGGGCACGCCATGGCGAAGATCGCGGGGCAAGCGGCGCGTCTGGGGAAAGAGCGCCGGCGG